TATTTGCCATTGGTTGACCAAACCATTTGTCCCACCCCCAAACTTGTGCCATTGGCAGTTCCTGGACTAAAGGAACCTGGATGTTGAAACAAACATAACCATGGTTTCGACAGAACCACAGTTTACTTTAGCATTAAAAATGACATACATCACCTTTAAGTCATAAAATCACGTTTTATTAGTGTTTTTGAAAATTTTGTACTCTCTCTTGCTCTTTCAGGATCTATGTCTGTATGTCGGCTACACATCTTCAGTCTACTGCACAGCATCAGTCTTAACACTTGCTGCTATCGCCCTGGACCGTTATTTCTCCATTGTGGACTGTCTGCGGTATGATTCCCGCTGCACAATTTGGAGAACAGGTTTGGCAGTGCTATGGATCTGGCTGCAAGCTATGGTGACCAGCTGTCCTCCCCTCTTGGGCTGGAGCAACATTAGTTTCGTGGCTCCCATGTACAGCTGTGCAGTGAACTGGGCCAACAGCCCAAGCTACACCGTCATAATGGCCTCATTAACATTTCTTCTACCAGCTATAGTCATCCTGTTCTGCTATGTGAAGATTGTCCGTGTGGCACGGTACCACGCTAGGAGAATTCACAGTCTGGAAGAACATCTCCAACGTAACAGGACCCCATCTGTCTTGAATCTCCAACACTCATTCATGGACTCCTTCACACCATCCAAGCTGGTGTACCATGTGAGTGGGAAGTTTGTGATGGATCAATTGGATGTTCCTGGTGAAATTTCTCCAGATGCACCATCTGAGATGTCTTCCAAGTCAGCTGGTGGACGTCTGCACTCATTCTTGGCTCAAATCCATAGCAGTAGCCCGCAGAATCCCAACCAAACTCAACATCATGGAGTCTTGAGGTTGTTCTTGGTCATCGCCGCTTTCTTCTTGTGCTGGACGCCCTATATAAGTGTAGCTCTGGTGCAGGCCACCGAAACTGCCCTGTCCCGACCCAGCAGCCTCGTTCCCCCATCAGCAGTCACTTTGTCCTATTGGCTGGTGCTGTTCAATTCTGATATCAACCCGTTGTTGTATGCGCTCCTCAGCAAGCGTTTCCAAGTTGCCTTCCAGAGTTTGAGATGGAAGATCCAGGCCAGGTTGGGGAGCGTTGTGGGACAAGGAGGAGGAGCTGAGAGGTCTACAGTTGGAGGTGGAGGCGAGAGTGACCCCACTAACGGAACGACCCACAGCTCCACAGCGCACTCCAGGAACGACGGGGAAGCGGCATATCCTTCTGTCTTCACTCTCAGCTCTCAGTTACCCAACAGCTTCAAGGAGCAGCTGAATAATGTTCTTCCTGTGGCCACTTCTCATCCTGTTTGTCATAAATGTGGTGGACAAGGTTCTAGGACGGTGGACCACCTGCAGGTTCCTTCCAAACAGCATGAGCGGAACAGACTTCCTTACTCTGCTGCTACTAAAAAGAAACAAGCCACGTTCTTTTATGGACAGATCACAGTAAGAGTAGAACATGATATTTGCTGAGTTTATCACAGCTCAGCAAGTTATTTTAAATCGTAATAGTATTTTACAATATTGCTGTTTTTAATGCATTTCAACCAAATAAATATAAGATACATATTTTAAAAAATAAAATATTAATCTTAATTATTTCAAACGTTTGACCAGTAATGTATATATAATATGTATTTTATATAAAATGTTTTTAAAACTTCTGTTTATATTGATTTTAGATGTTATATACTGTATAGTCTATATACTGTTATATGGATCATTTTATTTACATTTGAAGCAAATATGTTCAGAAATAATTATTTTTGCTTATGTGTTTCAGAGGGGTTTTAAAGCAGAATAAGTGAAGGTCATATTTTTTGTTAAAGCACTTACATGAATTATTCAGTAAAACCTGTTTTTATTTGAGCTTTTAACTTCCTTTTAATCTTTCTTTTTTTAAGGTGGTCCTCCTTTCTGTGTGGATGAACTTGAAGTTATGCTTTGCTGACATGATTTCTGTTGGTTGTGGCTTCTTGTCTTGATTACTTGGTTTTACCCATGTTACATAATTGTGACGAATATTCAAGTCAACAAATTAAATAATTTGATAAAACTTCTCTTATAAATCTCTTTTCATCAAGGTTTTTAAACTGATCTTTGTCTTCTCTGATGAATCTAATTCTAGGTAGTATTATAGAAAATGACTAAATATTGAATGATTTTATCAACATGATTGGCTTGTCTCAACAAATTTTGACAATGTTTATTCCATTTCCTAAAACATTTCACAAATTCTATTGAACCCATTCAAATGGTCTCTGTGAAATGAATCATGTTCAAACAAACCATAGTCTGTAGGACTCTAAGCCTGCTGACATTTTAAACAGGAGAAAATGTAAAGTTTGACATGGTACATGTGAAAACAGACAAAGCAGATCTGTTAAATGGATGTTTTCATTTATTTTTGTCGTCATTTTCCTCAAATGTGATCAGAATGCATTTCGGTGTAAAAATCATTCCTTACAAAGGTTTACAATAATATCTAGCAATAATTCCAGAGGAATACAATATTATATTTATTGTCACTGTAACAATGACAATGGGAGACAGTGCTGATGAGATCCTATTGCAAATCAAAGAAAAGGCAGTGAAGCCGTCATCTAGCATTTATTGGCATTTTCTGCATGCATTTCCCTGTAGAACTAATTCCCTTCCAATGGAACAGTCCGTAAGATTAAAAAATGCAATGCAGTGTTCAAGAAAAGCAACCGAGTCTTATGAACTGCAGGATGTGTTTTGTGTATGTAAAGGCGGCGTTTCAGTTCCAGTCACCACCTTTTGCGGAGCACATAGTGTGGGTGCACTTTTCAGAAATGGTCATACATTCACAGGATACACATGGCACCCTTTACGTTAACAAGACTCGCAGAAGATTGCCTTTTCGGTTTGCCAATACTGCCCCTGAAGTGTCCTCACAGTGGTTAGCATGTGACTCAGAAAAATGTGATGGAAACCAAGTATAGCTTCAGTATAAACCGTCTGGATGCTGTCGTTAACCCACATACGTCTTTGTTCACAGTTTAGGAGATGAAATCCCTCTAGACCTCAAGATGCACTTTGTATGAGGCAAGCTGGACGTCTGCACTCCTCCGGCATCCCAGCCAACCTCAGCACCAATGTATCCTGGGGCTATTCCTGGATCACCTTTCCTCCAAAACATCTTCAGTCACAGTTTGGGAGGGGAAATCCCTCAGATGCACCTGTTGCAAGGTAGAACTTTGTTGTACGAGAAGACGGCACAAGTTGCAGTTCTTACGGTCTATATTAATGTTTGGCACATGTTCTAATGGACACTGGCAGTGATTCGTGCCAGTGAAAGTCATAATGTGAGCTTTAAAGTGACAGACGCATTTCTCTGAGCTCCGACGGGAAGTTAAACAATCTCAAGACCAGCAGGGACTCTTTATTGTGGAGATATTTGTTATGTGGGTCTCTTGAGCAGAGGTCTCAAACTCAAACTACCTGTTTTTCCATTTGGGCCAGTTGAACAAATACAAATGTTTTATGACCTTACATTTTAACTACATACAGTTAGTGAGGCATGTATACATCTTTCCTTCATACCTAGCATGGTGCTCATGTTTAGTGGAGTAATGATGCCTGAAATTGCATTACTGCAACTGCAATTTTCTCCTTGAACAGGCAGGTAGCACATTGGAAATAACACATCCTGGCATTGACGTAACAATCAGATATTTTTCAATATAAAATGACTAAAATAGATAGCAATCAGTCTACATATATGATATTAAAAATATTTATATATATATATACACTCACCGGCCACTTTATTAGGTACACCTGTTCAATTGCTTGGTAACACAAATTGCTAATCAGCCAATCACATGGCAGCAACTCAATGCATTTAGGCATCTAGATGTGGTGAAGACGACTTGCTGAAGGTCAAACCGAGCATCAGAATGGGGAAGAAAGGGGATTTAAGTGACTTTGAACGTGGAATGGTTGTTGGTGCCAGACGGGCTGGTCTGAGTATTTCAAAAACTGCTGATCTACTGGGATTTTCACGCACAACCATCTCTAGGGTTTACAGAGAATGGTCCGAAAAAGAGAAAATATCCAGTGAGCGGCAGTTGTGTGGACGAAAATGCCTTGTTGATGTCAGAGGTCAGAGGAGAATGGGCAGACTGGTTAGAGATGATAGAAAGGCAACAGTAACTCAAATAACCACTCGTTACAACCAAGGTATGCAGAATACCATCTCTGAACGCACAACACGTCGAACCCTGAAGCAGATGGGCTACAGCAGCAGAAGACCACACCGGGTGCCGCTCCTGTCAGCTAAGAACAGGAAACAGAGGCTACAATTCGCACAGGCTCACCAAAATTGGACAATAGAAGATTGGAAAAACGTTGCCTGGTCTGATGAGTCTCGATTTCTGCTGCGACATTCAGATGGTAGGGTCAGAATTTGGCGTAAAGAACATGAAAGCATGGATCCATCCTGCCTTGTCTCAATGGTTCAGGCTGGTGGTGGTGGTGGTGGTGTAATGGTGTGGGGGATATTTTCTTGGCACACTTTGGGCCCCTTAGTACCAATTGAGCATCATTTAAACGCCACAGCCTACCTGAGTATTGTTGCTGACCATGTCCATCCCTTTATGACTACAGTGTACCCATCTTCTGATGGCTACTTCCAGCAGGATAATGCACCATGTCACAAAGCTCAAATCATCTCAGACTGGTTTCTTGAACATGACAATGAGTTCACTTTACTCAGATGGCCTCCACAGTCACCAGATCTCAATCCAATAGAGCACCTTTGGGATATGGTGGAACGGGAGATTCTCATCATGGATGTGCAGCCGACAAATCTGCAGCAACTGCGTGATGCTATCATGTCAATATGGACCAAAATCTCTGAGGAATGTTTCCAACACCTTGTTGAATCTATGCCACGAAGAATTAAGGCAGTTCTGAAGGCAAAAGGGGGTCCAACCCGGTACTAGCAAGGTGTACCTAATAAAGTGGCCAGTGAGTGTATATATATATATATATATATATACACTGCATATCAGATGGGCAAAATAAAATAAAAAGGTCGAAGTAGCTATAGTGCATCAAAAATAGAAACTTACATCTATTGTTTGTAATAAGAGCCATCTAGTTTTATATAGATGCATGTAACCCAAACTTTTCTGTTCATTTACATTCAAGTTTTAGGCTTGTAAAACCCATGTGGAGAATAAGAAATATACATAATTAAATTACAATATATAATATACATTAAATTACAATAAGATATAAAATAAAGTTGAAATATTATTAAATGTAATATTAATTTATCAAAGTTTTAATTTGAAAAAAAAAAACAATGAATGTAAAAAATGGGCTGCATTTAAAGATACACTATTAACCCAATGGCCCGTATGTTGGTAGTTTGAGACCCCCGCTCTTGAGTTTCAAATAAAGACCCAAGTCATTGTTCAAATCCACTTACAGTTGGGAGAACTGCAAAACATGATTTGCTTTCGGAAAGCTTCTGTTGTAATGTCCATGATGGTAAATTATGGCTTATGGAGCCTCGTTGACTGAGAAATATTATGGAATGAATGCTATTTCCAGCATCGTCCAGTCACTGGACTTTGAACGAGAAAAGGTAAATGCGTGTCAGTGGGAAAATGTGGACATGGAGGTCCTGGCCCGTCGGGTCCAGTTGAGTCCTGAGCTGGTTGCAGTCTCAGCCGGCTCAACAGGTTGTTCCCGCTTTCGGAGTTTGGTGCTGAGCTCAATCAAACACTGATCCCAGTCCTCTGGTAACAGCAGCATCAGGAAGCCCAGACAGATGATGAACACAGCGATGAGTCGCACTGTGTTGAAGTGGATATCACAGGTGTACAGGTCCACCACTGCAACGTGAACCAAACACACATTTAGAGCCAATTTCATCCAGCACAAACGGTCTAGATGAAGTTACAATGACTGTCCACTTTCAACTGGCTCAAAATCAGGTTTCCAAAAGTTAAAACCTTTTTTTTTTTTTTTCTCATTATTTAAAATGATTTTTAACAGTAACACAACACTTTTTAACAGTAACACAAACCATACAGTTTAATGAGCTATGAGAGTAATATAATGACAAATATGATAATGTATGCTTTTGGCGAACTATCCCTTTGAATCAGTCAGAAGCACTTCTGATTACTGATCATATACTTCTGTTTGCTTTTACAATTTTTTTTTATTTTTTTACTTTGAACAAAATTAACTCACTTGCATTGACTGGGACACTCAGCACAATGCCAAGTGAAATCAGTGTAGGGTATGTAATGGCAATGCCAAAATTCACCAGAATATTGAACGCTGTAAAAGAAAAAAATGCACAGTAAATGCAAATACAATTGTGTGAATATTATATGTATAATACACTTTTTTGTCTGTCAGTATTTTATCTACCAAGTAAGAGTCCAGCTACTCCACACAGGTAGGCCCAGGGAAGATCAGCTATGGATGTGAAGTACTCAACATGTGTGAAGTACAGTATGACTGGCACAAAGCTCATAAAGACAAAGTTTGCACCA